ATTGATGAGCTTCCACAGAAGGCTGTATTAAATGTGATTCCGTGTGAAAGTGATGGCAGCTCTGTAGCATCAGATGAAACCATCATACTTCCCCTTGCAATTACCCCACAGAAAGTTGATAGATGGCCCACAGTTTTTCCAGTGCTCACTTTTTCATGAGGTGGAGCTTATACTTGGAGAAGGAAATGTTGCATTTGAGAGAACTGGGAAAACTCTGAAATTGTCAAAGGGCCAAAAACACAACATCCTTGACACCCTTGCAGGTAAAATGCATGCTTTTAAAGCATATCCCCTGATAGGGAATTTTCAGAGGTCGCAAAAGCACTTGTGACTAAACATCCGTGTCTAAAAGAGCCAGGATCTCAGACAGGATGGTACGGTTGGAAAAACAGTTTAAAGTTTAAAATGGGGAACTATAGAACAAAGTTGAGTCAAGCTGGATTTAGTGAAGTAGCCATAAATTCTGGAAAACGGAGCAAAAACAACCCTGACAAACAGCCTGCCAACAGTAACATTAAAAGACCAAAACGGGCAGAGGTTTTTTCTCCCAAGTTTCCCAAGAGGGGAAGATCTTGGAAGCTTGGAGCAAATCAGACTCCAAATTGTAGATGAAGTCAAGGTAACCGACAAAAACATCACCCAGATTACAGCTCTGATGCAAACTACCATTGCCTTATGGTGAAAAGAAGTCGTCAGTGATGAGCTACCTGTTGGAGAGATCTTGGAATGCTGGCCTGCCATTGGAATTGAGTCCCAGGTGAGTATTTTTCACTGATAAAATCTAAAAACTCAAACAATGACACTTGGCTTATAATTTCCTAATGTTCTACATAAACCCACATCTGAAGTGCAGTTTCAGTCACTTTCGGCCACTTTTGGAGACGAGGAAGATGTCGATCCAGCTCAGCATAGAAATTGTTTTACAGGTTGATGTTCGTGATCCTGTGGAACTCTGAACAAATCTGTGAAAACACAAAAGGACAGTTTAATGCTTAAGTATATGTGCCACATATATAATGAATACAGAACTAAACAAACAACAGAAAATCTCAAGCATAATGGCAAATCACTGGATTTAATCTTGTTCATGTATTTTTATGTGTTTTGGGTGATTTTGAGTTAAAGTGACCTAAAATAATTTATGTAATCGGTTTCATAAAATAATTCAAGTTCTCTTATTTAAACCTAAGTAAGTTCTTACTGAGTAGTAGAGTTGGTAGAGATTCTTTTGATTTGAAAATTTTAAGTAAACAAAAAGTGATAAGATTACCGATCAGGCGGTCAGCATGCAGCTGGACTCTCCGGTGACGGTGGCAGAGGCGAGGACACTGAACAAACTGATGGACATCATGGACGACAGCAGCCATCCTCTGCACACCGTCATCAGCAGCAAGAGGAGCCTGTTCAGTGACAGACTGCTGCTTCCCAAGTGCCGGACCAATAGACTCAAGAACTTTTTTTTTTTTTGCTTAATTTAATTTAATTTAACTTAATACTTTTTTGCCCTGTAAGCTGCTGGTAACCTTAATTTCCTGAGGGAGTCTTCCCAAGGGATCAAGTGTAAGTCTAAATGAAGAGTAGAATGTGAAATAAAAGAATGTCTGTTTAGGGGTACCATGGTTGGGTGGAAAAATGTGTAGGGGTACTTTGAGCCAAAAGAGTTTGGGAACCACTTCTGTAGCTGCATCAAAGCTTCACTTAGCTTGTCCTGTAGCCGATCCAGCTCTCCATTATGCTGTTTACAGGGAACTTCCTCAAAATCTCACTGACGTCCACCTCAACGCCGAATCATCCTCTTCTACCAAATTGTGTTGCACTTTTCAAGATGAAAGACGTCCAACCTTTTTACAGTTGGCTTTATTGTTTCTCAACGTGGCAAACTTCGCAACATCAGGCCTTTTCGGCGTGGCGACGGCTATTTCCGCGCCCCCTTTTCATCAAACGCGCAGCCGACAAAATGCTCCCTTGAGGCGTAACTGCGTCACTACATGCCAAATATAATCTCGTCAAAAATAAAGATCTTGGGGGGGTTGTCCACTTTTCTGGTGGTAAAATGAGGCTTCT